TGATGCGCAAACGCATCCATATTTCGCCACGCGTCACCCTCCAGGTACAAAAGTAAAATCCTGGTCCTCTCCGCGTCCATTAACTGGTCTTCGGGGATTAGGTGAACCGGCGTAAAACTGGTCCACATCCTCTCGAAGGTATAATCTGCAGTCGGTTTACCTGAGAACTTGAGAAACGAAGGCTTTTGAGCCTGATTTTCATACGATTTTACCAAATTGACATGTGAAAGTTTCAAAGGCTGTCCAGTGCCAAAGACCTCAAGAGCTCGTTTGTACGGATCAATGGTTTCCACCAAAGATCCAAGAAACGAAAACTGACTTGGTCCTTTTGGGCTGAAGATGCCAGCTTTTTGTGAAGGCATCTTGGGTTCTTTCTGCCCTGGAGACAGAAGAAGAGACCCAGGTTCGTGCTTTTGCACTGTCTTTGTTTGACGTACGTTTTGAACATTCTGTTCTTCCATTTCTGAAGTTTCCCCTGTATTATGTTCCATTTCTTCATCAGATTCCTCAGGAATCTGTGCTGGCTTGCTTTCAGCTTTTTCCAGGAAGGGGTCTTCGGGAAACGCAACTCCTGCAACTTTTGGTTGCATAGGGCGTAGTACGGACCAAGCTTTCTTTGTCATATCTTCCTGATATATTAAGATGCTGTTGATCTCTGCGGCCAGTTGCCTGATTGTTGCAAGTTCGGCCTCCTAGAAGGGTCCCTCTGGGAGCGCAATGAATTGCGCTGCTGCGTCAAAGAGTAGCGTAACATGCTGCTTGAATCTCGCTTGTGTTGGTCCTATTTCAGGGGTCTTAAAAATGCGATCAATTGCCCCTACGGCGTTTGCAACGCCAAGTATTTGGCGTATGGCATTCAGTCGCTGTGATGCTCGAATTGATGATCGGCTGCTTGTTGCAGCCGTTGACTCAGGTTGTTGACCTGGCTGACGAGTTGACCCTACCTGTGAACCTTGTACTTGTGATTGTGCTGACCTTTGAGAGGTTTGCACTTGCCCACTCGGTGGGTCTTGGATGCTGGAAGCACTTAGCAAAATCTGATGTCCGCTTTCGGTTGGAGCAATTGCCCTGAGATCGAAGCATTGCTGGCGCACTGTGCGCAGCCTGCTTGAGATCGGTGGTGATTGAGGCGGGTTCATAGACATTGCGCTTCAAGCTGCGATTTGTCTCTGTCCGCAAAACTTCAAAAATGCAAACAAATGCACAAAATTGAAAACTTCGACATTTCACACTCACAGGAATTCGCACTGAATAGAATTTCAACACTTCAGTTTTACTTTAATGGTGCTTAATGGATTTGAAGCCTTTACAAGGCAGTTGAACTGGCCACCAGTTTTGTCGTGCCGGAAACACAAAGGTTTTATAAAATAAAGGAACAGAGCAATCAGCCTTTATGAGGCTGGATCCTCCTTACAGGAGTCCCAAGAACAATCAGTTTTGATATCTGCTAGAACAAACAGTTAAGCAAACAGAGATGGACACAACACTTAGAACAATCACAACAGACAACTTAGAACAGTAACCCAAACAGTAGAATGCTCAATCCACTTGGAGATGCTTCCCTTCTCAGATGAAGTCAGCGAGTGACCATACTGGTCATTTCTGGCTTCCTCTACAAATTTTTCCTGGGCAGGTTTTGAAACCCGTTTCTTGAGGTAGCAGGTGAACGTCCCATGGAAGATAGCAGGTACTTCTGTCCTTCTTGGTGCTAGGCACCGGTTTCTAAGAGCCTTCGCCAAATACGCTACAAGGGGCTACAAAGTAGCCCCCGCGCGACCCGACAGGGTTGGAGCTGAAAAGGGTTGGAGCTGAAAAGGGTTGGAGCTGAAAAAGGTTGGAGCTGAAAAGGGTTGGAGCTGAAGAGGGTTGGAGCTGAAATGGTTGGAGCTGAAGAGGTTTGGAGCTGAAAAGGGTTGGAGCTGAAAAGAGTTGGAGCTGAAAAGGTTGTAGCTGAAGAGGTTTGGAGCTGAAAAGGGTTGGAGCTGAAAAGGTTGGAGCTGGAGAGGTTTGGAGCTGAATAGGTTTGGAGCTGAAGTGGGTTGGAGCTGAAAAGTTTGGAGCTGAAAAGGGTTGGAGCTGAAAAGGGTTGGAGCTGAAAAGGGTTGCAGCTGAAATAGGTTGGAGCTGAAAAAGGTTGGAGCTGAAAGAGGTTGGAGCTGAAAAGGGTTGGAGCTGAAGAGGGTTGGAGCTGAAAAGGTTTGGAGCTGAAAAAGGTTGGAGCTGAAGAGGTTTGGAGCTGAAGAGGTTTGGAGCTAAAAAGGTTTGAGCTGAAGAGATTTGGAGCTGAGAAGTGTTAGAGCTGAAGAGGTTTGGAGGTGAATAGGGTTGGTGCTGAAAAGGGTTGGAGCTGAAAAAGGTTGGAGCTGAAAAGGGTTGGAGCTGAAGCAGGTTGGAGCTGAAAAGTTGGGAGCTGAAGAGGTTTGGAGCTGAAGAGGTTTGGAGCTGAAAAGGGTTGGAGCTGAAAAGGGTTGGAGCTGAAGAGGGTTGGAGCTGAAAAGGTTGGAGCTGAAAAGGTTTGGAGCTGAAAAGGGTTGGAGCTGAAAAGAGTTGGAGCTGAAAAGGTTTGAGTTGAAGAGGTTTGGAGCTGAAAAGTTTTGGAGCTGAAAAAGGTTGGAGCTGAAAAGGGTTGGAGCTGAATAGGGTTGGATCTGAAGAGGATTGGAGCTGAATAGGGTTGGAGCTGGAAAGGGTTGGAGCTAAAGAGGGTTGGAGCTGAAAAGGTTTGGAGCTGAAAAGGGTTGGAGCTGAAAAGGTTGGAGCTGAAAAGGTTTGGAGCTGAATAGGGTTGGAGCTGAAAAGGGTTGCAGCTGAAAAAGGTTGGAGCTGAAAAGGGTTGGAGCTGAAAAGGTTGGAGCTGAAAAGGTTGGAGCTGAAGAGGTTTGGAGCTGAAAAGGGTTGGAGCTGAAAAGAGTTGGAGCTGAAAAGGTTGGAGCTGAAGAGGGTTGGAGCTGACGAGGGTTGGAGCTGAAGAGGTTTGGAGCCAAAGAGGTTTGGAGCTGAAAAGGGTCGGATCTGAAAAGGGTTGGAGCTGAAAAGGGTTGCAGCTGAAATGGTTGGAGCAGAAGAGGTTTGGAGCAGAAGAGGTTTTGAGCCAAAGAGGTTTGCCAACAATTCAATGAACTGTACAGTGGTATACTATTCAATGCTCCAAATGTTCTTATTAGGCTGAAAAAAAGTTCACTGAATCAAATTCAAGGGGCAAAAACCTTTTTTTCATGGAATCCTGCAGAATATTTCTTCCATAGAAAACCATAGAGAGGTTGAGAAAATCTAACAGGTTAGGCTTACTTATTGGAAGCTAGTTTTGACCCTGGAATCAACACTTTCTGAGAAATTAACTTGAACCAAAATTTTTGAAAATTTTGATGGGGGAAATCCAGATGAAACTTCAATTTAAAAAACAATTTTCATCACAATATTTTCAGGAAATCTAAATTGAAGGCTTTAAAAATCATAACTGCCTCAGAATAATTTTTAAAGCCTGCAATTCAGATTTCCTAAAAATATTGAGATTAAAATTGTCTTTGAAATTGAAGATTAATCTGGATTTCCCCCATCAAAATTTTCAAAAATGTTGATTCAAGTCGATTTCTTAGAAGGTGTTCATTGCATTGTCAAAAATGGCTTCCAAGTGAGCCTAACCTGTTATATTTTTTTCAACATTTATTGTTTCTAAGAGGGTTATGCTCAAAGCAGACACATTTTCAAAAAAATTCTGCCTTGAGCATAACCCCCCTACATGCAATGTTGAAAATGTTTGCATTGATGATTTCAACCTGTGGATTTGTGGTTCTAACCTCAAGCCTAAAATTTGAATTGCAGTGGTTATGCTCGAAGGCAATTCCATTTTAAAGAATTTTTTTGTAAGCATAACCCCCATGAAGAAAAATTTTGAAACCTGCAATCTATACCCTCTTCAAAATTTAAGTTAAATCCTCATTTTATCCTTTTAATCATGCCACTGTCTAAAACTACTGTCTAAGACACACAACTGTTCTTCCCCTTAAAAATTAATTTTCTTCAATTTTCTGCAATGGATTAAACAATTTCCTGTGCAAGTCTATGGGAAATATTGTTTTGCATAACAAATGTTTCATACTACAAACATAGCCCTGGAATGGATTACGTTTGTATTGCAAGGTACCACTGTAATGTAAATGTATGGGAAAACAAGTCTTGAATTAGTGACAATGCAACTTAGGGACACTCTCAATGCACCAATTCTGTCTGCCTCTGGGGGTCTCACTGTTAAAAAATTTGTGCAATTAAGTCATTTGACAATATATTACTGTAAAATGTTAGATCTCATTGGAAAATAGTTCAGATTATCAACTTGGAGTGAATAGTCCTCATCTGAATTCAAGAAACTTCATCAAAGTAACATTTTTGAAAAAAGCCAAACTGCTCAACTAATTAAACATGTGTAACAAGAACAGTTTGAAAGGAGCAGATTTGAGCATTCATTGAATGCACATCATATATATTTTTATCTTCTGATTAAAGTGTTGCAGGTTTTTGCTTGAAACTCGACCCAAATTTTTGTGGACCACCGTTATATCTTAGTATTGAAAAAACAGACATCAGAAGACGTAGAAAGCAACATTCTCCTGCATTCCCCTCCATTACAGCAGTGTATAATTCACAAAGCAGGTTATTATTGACCAGCCATGCAGTCGAAGTAGAGTAACCCCAGGTGAATTAATTTTTTTTTGTGTGAATCGAAAAACCGCTTTCCTCACTATTCACCTGTGCGATGAACGGGATTCTTTTACTGACTTCACAGCAGCTGCATGCTGGAAAACTTTTGAAGCAGAAGTATATGTCAGGCATATATTCTTCTGAAGATCGCACGCCATTCCATCTAGGAAATTCTTCCGCTTCCTTTATTGCCGATGGAAAGCCTTCAGCGACTTGAGCACACTCTCACCTAGTCTAGGATTATGTTCGTCGATTAAACTGGCGATACAATGCACCAAATGAAACAAGGGCTGTGCGAGAAGTGCTGATCATAACCTGTCGGGCATTTATTTTCAAGAAGCATTTACAGTATAGTTCTATAGGAACGATTTTCATAATTTGGTTTCCGAATCGAGGGCTTGCTCTGCCGGCGAAGAATCCCTGGGACTGATCAAAGATGACTTCCTAGCTTCTGCAGCAGCAGGCGGCTCTTGTTGTGCCTCCCGTCGTTGGCAGCGCATGCCTGGGTACACCGACAAGAGATGCGAGAGAACACTCAGCGCCACCTGGAAAATACATAACCAGGTTCGCATGAAGTTATACTATATCCCTATTGCCCAGGTCCATGGGAGTAATGGCAGACACGAACCAAGCACCCGCACTCGATCATAGCCACGAGCATAGTGAATTGGAATCCCTTGAGGTCGTCGACAAACCCTGCCACAACCGGACCAACCGCCTCCCTGCATGACGATGAATGAGCATATGGAGCGAGAGATCAAGGCAATTAGGTCCAGCGCTTTGATCGCGGTGGGGCCCCGAGATGCGGACGCAATTGGTACTAGGGCCATGTATGTCGGAATATCCGCATGCCATATCACGTATTCCCTGAGGTCTCAATTGATAATGTAATGCACTCGATTGGTTCTCCTGCTGCTGATATTATATAATGTTGAAAAAGTTCCCAAAAACGATTGAGAATCAATTAATTTCCATCTACTGTACTTCGAGATGCATAAAATAGCTAAGCAAAATAAACTCATGCATGTATAATCTCATCTTTTGGCATGCAAAGGAGCCACAACAAAAAAAACAAAACAAAAAAAAAACAAGCCCACACCTTTACAGACTGCGCACATACGATGGAAATAACTGAAATAAGAATCACGAAGTTAGTATGCTTCGGATCATGAATTATAGGGCAGTTGTACAGTAATTGATTTCATATCCAATATTCGTGAATATGAGCAGCTCAATTTGCAGGAATGGCGAAAAAGTGTTAAAAATATTTTTTTTGGAATTTGACTAGAAATGTGGGGGGTCTAGTGTCCATATCTTGAGATCTGATCCGGATATTGGGACAGATAGAGTTCGAGTTTGAAGCGTCCCTCATCGTCCGTATGTCGGGGCCCCGTTTAATTCTAAAGGAGGCACTCGACTCACCCGAGGCAGTAGAAGGCATTGAATGTTCCCGAAATGATGCCGTATGTTTTGATGTCGTCGCTGAATCCAGCTTCCCTGCGTGAAGAAGGTATCGTAATTGACCACTTCCCAGAAAACCAACTTATTTTAGCAAAGTTTACATTACAGGACTACAGTATACTGTACACGAACTTCTTAGGAGAGCTCTTAGTGTTTTTGTTTCATACTTCTCAACGACTGTGCTTTGATTGTTATGAGAGGATGAACCACGGTTTGATATCTAGATGGTGCAAATGATCCGTCAAAGCCGTTCTTTTCCTTTGACANACACGTTTTCAAGCTTTTCTGATATCGTTGAAGCATTTGAAAAAAAAAAGAACGCCGGCTTTTTGATCAGACGATTCGGAAGAATGTAACTTTTTTCTTCTGAGAGACAATAGAGCCATACTTCCGCGAATGACATGATGGTTATCTCAGCAAAGCAACGCAGTTCTTCTGAAAAAAGACCATCACGCACTCAGCTTCTTGTGGTGCAATAATATTAAAAACAGCGGAGTCAGGTTCGTGAAACGGCAGCTATTTCATTGTAAGACTATATACACTGTATCTCGTGATTCATGCTAGCACTCCTTTGAAAATTTGTCGAAAGTAATTTTTTTGTATGATGCAGTGCTTTTTTCATGAATTCTCCTCGGGCATCTAATCTACCTTTCTTCCATAAGCAGGGGATTCTTCCATGAGCAAGGTAAGCTATTATGCTTTACTGCCATGCTGGTCAACAGTCGTTTCCAAGGTTCGTTAATCCGTTCTATAATGCCTGCATACGTGAGAGTTTCTTCATCTCTTTTGCAACTTTTCAAAATACTGTATATCCATTATAGCTGAGTTTCAACAATTCCTTATTTTCATTTTTTTTTAAATTACAAACCCCAATCATTTGGCAACACTTCAGTGCAGTTCAACCCACGCTCCGCCGATTTTCATGCATTTTTTCATACAATAAAACAAATGATATTAAAGTGCCAAAAATTGAATTCCCTTTTAGTTGATTAAGCTGATCTTCGACGGCAGATATGAGGTTGTCGCTGTCCTCAAAGTCAATCCCTTTGAGATCATTCTTCGCCGTCGTACTCCCAGAAGTCACCGCTAGGGTGTAATGCATTTTCCGAATAAATGTTTGCCGTTGGAATTGTTTCCACTAAGATATCCTCTAAATAATTCAAAATTCATTTTTACTAAATTTTCGGCGATTTTCTTTTCTTTCAAAAAAATATCCAAAGCAAGTTCTGGAAAAAAATGTACTAAACTGCACCCTGTGACTTCTGGCTGTTCCCGACAGTGTATCAACAGCATTACTGACAATATGTACATCATGTATACAATAAGAGATGCTCACATAGCAGCTCTCCGGAGTGCTTCGAAAGTGGGCACCGTTGTGAGCCCCAGACCCGACCCCACCAGCACCAGCGCCACGATCTTGACCCACAGGTCCCTGTGTATGATAAAAATGGTCAGTATCCAGGGTATTTGCATGCATCCTAATCATTCTCTTTGAACAAGCGTCACTTATTCCAGAAACGGCCAGGGTACTTTCATTATTTCATTTCATTCAACTTATACTTCACAGCAGTACAGGTGAACCTCTCTAAGTGAAATTTCTAGGGACCAGAAAAAAACTTTGACTCTGGAAGGTTTCAACTTAGGGAGGTTTTGATTTTTTGAGGAAAGGAAACAAATATTTTTGCTGCAACAAAAATGGGAATTTAGATGAGGACATTCTGGGCCTAAAATTGCTTCTTAATGACTTACCAGCTTGCTGAACTTGTGGGCAGGGGTTCATTTGTTCAATCACTCCTTCACTTGATTTCAAAATGCATAAAATAATCTGTTTTGTTGATTTTCTCAATCATATTTCAAGGAAATAATGATCAAAAGGCCTCAGAAAATTCAACTTACAGAGGTTTGAGAGAAAACTACTTTGACTTAGGGAGGCTTTTAAAGCATTGTTTCCATGGGAATCCAGACAGGGACTTGAAAACAATCGAGTTAGGGAGGTATTCATTTCAGCAAGGTTCACGTTTATTTACTTTTGATTCACTTATTCATTTTTTTTTTTCATTGTGATGGTGCACTGTAATCAACGCACTCACCCCGGGATGATGGACTCCATGAGCGACGGCCCCAGCAGCAAGTAGCCGATGGTGAGACTCAGCCAGCCTCCGCCGATGCTCAGCCACAGGCTGCCCGGCACCTTGTGGATCAAGTGTCCCGCCACCAGGGTGCTGACGGCGTAGGGGCCCAGGATAGCGCAGAACACCAACGCCACGTTCATCGCCGACAATTTGTGCTGTGAATCACAGATATCGTTTTCAGTGGCGCGCCGCTTCTTTCGGGTATTAATAGCTCTTGACCGGGCGTGAATAAACGGGGTGTAACAGCCAACTCTATACACGGATATCTGTGCTCAATACAGGTTCCATGTACTGTATCATTAGTGGATAAGTGCACCATACTGAATTCTGGAAGTGCATAGTGGGCTGGGACCCCAACATACAGTAAATTCGACTAAGGGGACACGCACTTTACGAAAAGTCTGCAAATACATCAGGACAATGTCCCAAAGCACGGACATTTTGCCAACATTTCAAGAACAATTTTTCTGATATCTTGAACAAATGGAGGTTAATTATTGATATTCAAAACAATTTGGGAGAAATATTTCATTACACTAATTAATAATGGAAAACTGGCTAAATTTGTGCTTTTTGAAGATTTTTTTCGCATCATCTGTGATGAGTACAGTATATGGCTAGACTTCTCATTTGCTGATTCTTGAACTCCTTTTGTATGCTAAAGGATTAAATTCTGAGTGGTTCACTTCTGCCAGGCACAGTTATTCCTGTATCTTGAAGTTGGGAAACAATTTTCATTGAATCTTGAGGGTCCTATCAGTTTCCAAATTGTAGACCAGGAGAACCGATTAAAAATAATTTCATTCAAGTCTATGGGGAAATATTATCCACAATGATGATGTTCTAATAGCCGGACAAAGGTCCAAGAACCAATTATTACAGAATGTCTGCATCTTGAGGCTCCACTGCATAGCCTAAGTGTTATTGGTGCAATGATACTGAAGATGGTCGAGCAAAATATGCTATGACTGAATTAAACCAACAGATATGTTACACAGGTAAAGTTTTCAAGTTGATGCTCTGAGTCTGAAATTTTCCAATTAAAATATGAAGTAATGTCTGCTTTTTTTCGCGGAACATGCAGCTGGTGACTTGCTCTGTTCTTCACATTTCGGCATATACAAATTAATTGACAAAAAACGTTTTTATATGGACTGAATTCTTCTCGAAGACAACTTTTTGATATCTTCTGTAGCTAGATTTTAATCGAAAATTTCTCAAGTGAAAATAACTATGCGAGTACTTCTCCAGGAACGCAAAATTTCTCGTAAAATGTGGCAGGGTGAATTGTGATATTAGACTGAGTCATTTTTCAAATGATAGAATATAGATCCTGATTAGCTTTTTCGGACTCTTCTTTCAGCACGCTTCGGGAAATACGATCATCACTCAATCCTTAAAGTGCGGAGCAAAGTAAAAAAAGACAAATTCCATAATTTACATGGATTTTCTCCAGCTTTTCAATCACTGGATGTTGGGATTTGTTTCCCATGATATTTGTTTTGCACAGTAATACAGGTATAGTGTATTTCGCTTTAACCAAAGGTCAGTGAAATGATAACTGAGCAGACTTATTGCTTCAGAGCAGACTAGAAATTATTGGATAACGACCAACCGGGCAAGGAGAATTGGCAACTCTGCACTGCTCACGACTATTTCTAGCAGAAAGAACAAAGATGTTTCCAATTCCCAAGGGAAAAAAATCCTGGACATAGGACGCGAATACGGGGAATCATTGAGATAAATCGAAATTTTAAAATGATTTAGATGCAAAAATACAACAGAAACAACCCATTTGAAAGAATCCTTGAACTAAACTTAATTCTGAAACATACAATATACACATTTGCAGCTAGACACCAAGATGCAGAAATAATTGGTGCATCCAGAGTGTCCCTAAGTTGAGTCTTGCTTTCCCAAAGACTTACATTAAATAATTTTTAATTGGTGTTTTATTGGAGAAATATTCTTCAGAATTCCCTGAAGAAGATTTTTTGCCACTGGAATTTGAATCACTGAATACATTTTCAACTCAATAAGAACATTTGGAGCATTGAATAGTGTATCTCTGTACTGTACATTGCAATTTTGGCATCTACAAAAATAAAATTCAAGTGAACAATTGTAGAAGTCCCTCTATGCTGGTGGTAATTTTTTAAAATTTGCTGAATGAATGGATGGTAAATTGGTGAGAGATATTCCCAAGAACTTTTGTTACTTCAATTTCATGCTTGGAAATATCTATTGCTTGTAACTTGGCCTGAAATGCATTTGCAATTTCATCACAAAATGTCCGAATGTCAAGTCATTGTCCTCATGTTGGGCCTTTCTATTAATTTTTTACAGGAAAATAAGTGTCCCTATGTCGAATTGTCCGCAGGTCAAGGTGTCCGCATGTGGGGGTCTCACTGTACTTATTCAATTAATCGCACAAGCCCTCATCTTCCAAATGTTGTGCAGCTCGTCTGTTTCGCTGACAGTTTTGGCAATCATATGCACGCAGCACCGGAAGCCAGCAGGCTTCTGCTGTGCTGCAGCAAGTCTCATCATCATCATCGTTATATGAAACGTCCCACTGACTGTGCATCAGTGTGCTAAAAAAAATTAGAACCTTTACCTCTTCAGTCAGGTGAGGCTCGAGGACCGGAAACGCGTAGGAGAACATGAAACTGGCATAGAACACGTGGATGATGGAGAGCAAGGCTTGGACGTCCATGAACAGATGCTTGCCCCTCATCCCGTTGTCGGCCACGTGCTTGTCATCGCTACTAGTCCCGGAGGCCACGTATTCTGCATAGAAAACAAGAAAGAAAAAAAAAACAAATAACCCCGTCGGCATATTTCATTCCATCGTGCTTGATGGCGAGACAGTGGCAGAGATGTTGGAAGAGAAGCAAAATGAAATCACTGTGTTCCGGAGGGACGGCGCAGATGAGCATCACACTTGTGACGAGGAAGAGTCCGCCGAGAAACATGAAAGGCGCAAAGAACCCACCGACCTGTTGAAAAGAAAAGAAAAGAAAAAACCGAGACTTTTTGCTGCTGCTGATGGAGGATTACTTGTGAGTACAGTACAGCCAAAAGTACAGAAGTGAGGCCCTGATGACAGATGATGCACACCTTGACAAGCGGAAATGTCCACTCATCGTCATGATGGACATTCGAAGACTAGCAACAAATGGACGGTATGACTCCAGATACCTACAGTTTCAATGATTTCTGTTTTTAAGCCTATATTTACGTGTCTCTTGTAAAAATTCCTCAGCCTCCATCACTAGCAAAAGTACAAAGTGAACCTTATCAGCACTGACCCTTTCTACTCATTTGTTTTTGAAAGCCTATCACTTGGTGCTTCTCCTTTCAGAGCTTTCTTTTCTTATTCCATCAGTTATGTCAGTATGGCAATGCTTGTTCAGGCTGCATGATATTTCTGCCTTGTGAACTTCTTTTCATGGTGAAGGGACAATGTCTTCTGGGAGGTTCATCTTCTGCTGCACAGTTTGTTTCAAACATTATACAAAACATTCGAGTTTTGGATGACGTTTTCTGATTTTTCGCCATGTGAAAGGGATTCAAAATTTTCCGAATGATGCACAGTGTGTGAAAATATCTAATCTATTCCTCGAAATGTTCCAAATTGTGAACGCAGTCACCGCAAAAGCATGTCCGGTCAGCCGCCAGCCGTTCAATTCACGGTCGCGCACCCGCCAGCCATCAAACGCTGGTCCCTCCAATTGCCAGCCAGGGCAGTGCTTGGTCTCTCCAATCCCCAGCCCACCAAACTGCGGTCCGGTCACTCAATTGTCGGGGCACCCGAACAATTGGGTGACTAGGATCCCATTGATTCTGAAATCCTGTTTTGCAGTGTTTGAAGATCAGAATGGTTTCCTGCCACAGATGATTTTTTTTGCAAAATTTCAGCAATGTTAGGTTAGTTCAATTTATGTTGTTTTAATTTAGGTTAGGTTAGGTTTGGTTAGGTTAGGTTAATTTAGGTTAGGTTAGTTTAGGTTGGGATGGATGAGTTTTTTCTTTTCGCAAAATTTTTTACAAGATTCAATTTTGTGCAAAAAAATTATCTGTTGCAGTAAACCATTCTGCTCCCCCAAAGACTGGAAAGACACTGCAACCAGGATTTTAGAATCAATGGGATCCTAGTCACCGGATTGTTGGGGTTCCTCGACAATCGGGTGACCTGACCGCAGTTTGGTGGGCTGGGGATTGGAGAGACCAAGCACTGCCCTGGCTGGCAATTGGAGGGACTGGCGTTTGACAGCTGGCAGGTGCGCGACCGTGAATTGAACGGCTGGCGGCTGACCCGGTAACCCGCAAAAGTCATCAAGTCCGCATCTCCTACTATGTACTGATACGCGTAATATGCATGGCTCTGTTAACTACCCTTCTGTATACCACATAAAGATCGTGACTCATGCAGTACCTAAATTTCCCCTTGAATTCCAAACGGAAAAAAGTAGGCAATAGTGTGTTTATAGTGTACCAGAACATTGAAAGGGTAGCACATGAACAGATTCGCTATATACCAGTCTCGAACATTGGTTTCTGGCTCAACCTACGCATTGTTCACGCAAAACAATAATGAAATAAAAAATCGGGCTTTTTCAATTGCTGCAAACCAGAAAACGGCAAAGCACTATATGAATGCTATGACACAAAGGCGGTGCGTTCCGGAAATGAGCGGATCCTGGCCATAAATTAGCATGTGTAAATGTACTAGCTGTATAGTGTATACAGTATCGGGAAGCAAAAAAAAAATCTAGCATGAATAGGAATGTGCACTGAAGTACAATATACAGTACTGTATTTACTTGAGTACCAGGCACACCTTTTTTCTCAAATTTCAAAAAGAAAAGGGGTGGCGTAGTACTCACCCATGTGTAAAAGGTTCTTCAAAATCCTTCAATACACACGTTATATGAATTAATATTACCTCTTTAAACCTTGTCTACATTGTTCTTTTGAAACAACATGACTTTGTCAACTTTGTTCATAAAAATTTTTTCAATTCATGTCTAAAGTCAATCTTTTGTTTTTATTTTTGAAATTTTGTGGTTTCAGATTCACTAAAAGTAGGGGTGCACATCTTACTGGGGGATAAGATTTTAGAAAAATGTCCAACTGAAAAAGCCCTGTGCATGCCTTACTTGACGTGGCGTGGTACTTGAGTAAATATGGTAGTACTGTAAACTATATTCAAGAGACCTGAGAAAGAACTGGCAGGTCTATATATATATATATATATATATATATATATATGCAGCAAATATCCTTACAATGAACTCTCAGGGACCTACAAACATTTTTAACCCATGGCAATTCCTCATGATAAGATTCATAGTAAATAAGCATGCAGAACTAATATTATGTGCTGGGAAGCACCTGATGAAATCTTGTACTTCCGCAACATTTATGCGAAGAATCATCACCATCATTTCCCATTTATGTTGTAGTGATAAATTAGAAAGTTCAAAATTTAAAGCACGATGCATGTTTTTCCTTCGATTGCTTACATTTTCTGGAAGTATAATGATTGAACTGAATTAAATGCATGTAGGTTGACATTAACAGGCACTACAAATATAATTCAATTCAATCTTCAACAACTGAATTTTCCTTGAAATAGAGCAGAATCATACGAAAATAACTTTACAAATTCATCATTTCAACTTCATGAAAGAATGGCTAAAAACCTGTTGATTATGAAGTGTCATGCAAGCACTACTAAGAATGAACTTAATTTGACAACACAACATTTTTATAGCATAGTCCCAGAAATGAAGAAACTGCTGCATACTGGGACCAAGAAAAAAGCGTTATAACGACACATGTTGTAATGGATTTACTTGTATCCTGTATGTATGTATGTGTACTCTGCTGGTGTTAATACGGGTGTTTACAGCAGCAGGCACACATTGCGACGACAAAAAGGCGATACAGGTGGTGCCCCGCATTTCGACACTGATCCATTGCTGGGAAAGGGTCACATTACGAGACAATCTCAAATTCAAGTTTTTCTGCACAGTATTTGACATTTCAAGTCTCTCTTCGAGTCAACTCGTGGGGCAAGAGGTTGAATTGCAAGTCGACGTCCCAACTAATTCGACCGCGGAATCGCAGGAGCGACGAATTGCGGGACGTCGAATTGGGAGGTAGCACCTGAATCATCTTCGCGTACGCCTTTGCATGTTTAGTGCGGATCAGCAATACAGATGTCGCTCACCTCGTTCAGAGCGCCTCCGAGTGCAGGCCCCGCTGCCAGTCCGATGCCGGCGAAGGTTTCCAGCAGGCCCTATCATGCAGTGCATGGAACGCATGTAGGTAAACAGGAGTGTACAGTGTATGAATAACGAATCAGTGCCGTGAGTTATGCAGCTATTTGAAGGCCAATCTTTGCTCAGCACTACTGGTGCTGTGTCTACGCGCAGGCGGACGAAGGAAAAACTCACGATGATTTTGGCGAAAGAGTCGGGAAACATTTTGAAGATGATGGTGTAGCTCGCAGTCGTGAAGATGCCGTAACCGAGCCCCTCGGCGATCCGCACGAGCAAGGACACCGCGAAGAACGGGACGCTGCCCTGGATGAGATTCGTGAACCTGCAATCATGTACCAGAAGCGTCTTCCATTATCTGCTGGTATTCTAGATCATGCAGGAAATAATCGCGGTTGCCGGGAGAAATTCGTTCTGCAGCTTCGATATTTTCTCTGCATTTTAATTTATCCTCTTATTATAAAACGATCTCCCGGTATTCCTGATGCATGATGTATGCAGCCAGCTTCTGCTTGCGGCGTTTATTCCACGAACCTAATGATTAGATAATTTAGCAATGCTGGTCCTCACCTAATGCACATGCAGACACATCACACAGACAGACACACATCACAGACACTGCCAATGAGCCTGTCTGCCACAGGCTCATCGGCAGACATGCTGCCGATGAGCCTTAGTCGGGTTTGCACACCCTATAGCTATTAAAATTGCTGCAGTACGTGTTGATGCTGCTTCTGCAATATACTGTACAGCAGTACAGTTCTCTGATGATGACACGTACCAGCAGATCTCAATCAGTACATACGTCATGTACGCATTCTACAGTTCCTGGCCTTCATCGCTTCTCTTTTATACTCATTCCTCCAATTCGGCGAGAAATGTAAGAAATCCAAGCAAGAGAAAGTTTGAGATTCAAAATAATTTTAAAGTTCGGGATTCCAGCAGTAAGTACTTCAATTCACGTCGAGGCTGCTGGAGAAATCATAGTTGTAGGATATCTAGTCAAGTTTTCCATTGAATGTCTCAAATGGAGTTATTACCAAAAACCAATCTTTATCATGGACATGTAATAGTTCGTGTGTCCATAGACTACGAACGTATGTGCATAGTATGGATCATGAGAACTTTGAAATCAGTCAGCAACTAATTTCAATATCTTACCGAGTTGTACGCTACATTTTCAACAGTCACCTCATCAAGAACGGCCGGGAGATTAACCAAGGAAAAATCATTTTCAATGTGCATAATAAGGCACTCCTATACAATATTTGAGTTTTGATGTTTTAATCCGTGAGCGGCAGACGATGCGTGGAATTTTTCATCATCAGTGAGCAAGTGAACATACTGTCGCACAGCCATTTGATGAAATTGAAGAGAACCTCATCTTTCAATTTGACGGTTTTGGGCCATTGCTTTTATATTCCTGCTTGGTTTCAGATCTGCCACTTGTGCTTCATTTCAATATCAGTGTTTTTCGTTATTGTTATTAGTTAAAACTTGAAATTCACTGAACCAGGCTTTCATCTCTGTTTTGGAGAGGGATTTACAGTACTTTCCCTTTTTCTTCATTAATCTCCTGAGTGGGGAGCTATTTTTGCTGTGACCCCACAGTAGTTGCACACCAGGGTCACAACTGGTGCATATGGGATATTCTGGGGTTACAAGTGTGCACTCCTGTAGAGGAAATTCTGCTACTATTCCAGGGCTACACTTGGTGCACAAATGTGACATAACAGGAGTATCACACAAATGCACCAACTGTAACCTTGGTGTAACTTATTACTTGCTTACAAATGTGACCCTGAGTAATCCTGATGTGAACAAACAATTGGTACACATTAGGGATATGCATGTGCAACAGAAGAACTTTGGTATACTTCAAGTGCACAGCAGGATAACTGTGTAGAATTACAAACATATCCCCAGAGTGCACCAATTTCCCCACTTGGGCTGGAATCGCAATCTTCCGTTTCTTGGAAATATTTAAGGAAATACAGTTATGGAAAAATTGCATGGGAAGAATTAAAATTTTTCGGATAGGGCAAGGATTCTCATTTCCATCGTCAACACCCACTTTTGAGAGAATAAGTAGTGCACTCGACATATATTTGCGACAAACCCAGAGTGTCTCAATAATCGTTTCTCATGATCAATCCACAGTAGCATAACTTCGCATCATCATTCATGTCAGTTCCTGCCTTGATTCAGGGAAAATATGTAAGGTGTATTCCACTGTTCACAGGCCGTAAATACACATGACTCTTGAACCTGTGGCAATATACTAAGTTATGTACGTCGTACTATATTTCCTCCATCGGATCGGGGATTTATTACAGCAGTATTCTCATTTTACATCATTCCTTTTTCTTGCTTTTACTCTATCTGACCGACTCATCTACTATAATATAGAGCTTTTGCATGAAAATGTAGCAGCATGCCATGAAAAAGAACCAAATGCGATTTCACTGTGGTGTGGTCCATGATCCAGTATTGTATATCTAATCTCGCAATAGCACGAATTAGGGAAAGGCAAAACAAACTGCGTCATAAAATGTCTGCTATCAAAGTAAACTTGCTCCTCTGAGACCTCTTCGAGATATGACCCAATATGAGGTTTGCATCCAGATAACAGAGAAAATTATGCCGCAAATTGGAACGACTTGAACACAGTACAGTACATATGAAGACGGCTTGCATTCAGAAAGCCATCATTCAACTCCTCTGTTGCATCAGTGATACCTTGTTTTCGAAAAAAATTTTGGAGACTGCAAAAAAAATTTAGCTGTACTGAATACTTTCTCATGAGATTTTCAACATTGATGACTGTGGAAAAATGCTTCACATCACAGATTTGTATATAACTAATTGAAATCTTGCTTAATTTTCTGGCATTCTCAAATTACCATTGTTTTTTGAAAAACTGGGTGATCTACTGAAAATATTTTGGATGCAATCAAGCATTCATCAGTTTCATCAAGCACTTCATCCTGGGAGGATGATGATGCATACAGAACCACTATACTTGGAATAATGTTTGGCATTGTTCATTGATTACAGCTTGCATACAGTGCTAGCCAATTGAAACCATCGCATTTCAGATCTTTCTGTACCAAATCTCAGTCTGTGCCTGATTTATAGTAAAGAAATTTCTACATGATGAGAAATCTATTAAGCAACCCTCAAAAAGTTTGTCTCTTACATACTAAAACAGGGAAGCTTGTTATAATGCTATTTCATCAGCAATAATTCCTCCATGGAATGTCTGCCATGATTCGGGAAAAAGTTTGGTATCCTGAAAATTTTGTTGCTATGGCATTTGCTGCATATTGAGATTCTATGTACTGTATATGAAATACGAACGCCCTACATTGACAAACAGAATCGACTGTATCCGCGTATCCAAGCACAACAATAAAGACGAAGATGCGACATTCTTGCCATTTCATATTTGAATGAATGCCTACATGGTCATCACTCATCAGTGAGTAGAGTATACAGAACAGTACAGTACTGTACGTGTGTACGCGTATATGAGAAGATGAACGAAGCTCTCGGATACATGCGAGCAGCGACACCTATTCAAAGCAGCTTAAAACGGAGTCGGGGCATGACTAACTTCTCACCCGAAGCTGATGCAGCTGAAGCTGGCCAAGAAGCAGCCGGTCACCACCATCACCTTGGGACGGATCCGCCTGACCTGCGAAAAGACCGGATCAACCTCGTGCTGCAAGAGGTCAACGAGGAGAAACGAACCAAGTATCCCGCGAAGGGCGAGGATACAAACGCCGTCAGGGAGTAGGACGAGAACACGATGCCTCTTTGAAAACCACTTATGTTCCGTTTCGTCGCCTGCATGCATGGAAGAGAAACAAATACTGTACAGTTCCGTATTAACGTACCATTTCCAGCAGTTATTCAAATTGATTCCAGGAAGAAAGCATAGTAGAGAAGGTTTCAACTGTTGTGGTCAAATACTGTACTATAGTGCACATTACAGTGAGACCCTCACATGCAGACTCCTCAGCATGAGGACAACTTGACATAAGGACATTTATTTTTCAATAAAAAAGACCCAACATACAGACACTGACTTGACATGAGGAGATTGCATGATAAAATTGCCAACAGAATTCACAAAAATTTATTTTTATTTGGCTTGATCGCAAGAAACAGATACTGTATATATCCAACCCAATGATTTACGCAAAAAAAATTATTTGTTATTTCTCACATCATTTTCTCATCCATTCAGCTAATTGAAAGAATACCTATTGCATAGAGGAAATTTCCTTCTCTCTTTGTTATTTTAAGGTTACTTTTGTAGATGCCAACATTTCAATGTACAGTATGGAGATAAACTATTCAGTGCTCCAATAACTGCTTTTATTGAGTATATTTCTTCCATAAAACACTGATTAAAAATTATATAATGTAAGTCTTTGGGAAAACAAGACTTGACTTATGGACAATTCAACTTAGGGTCACTCTTGATGCACCAATTATGTCTGCATCTGTGGATCTCACTGTAAATCATTTTCAGGGATGAAATATGTTTACCCTAAAAAGGATGGATACCATTGATACCCTGTGATTTATATAAACACACAGTTTCTAGAATTCTGGGTGATATTTTGGGTTCTGGGATGTGGTTTTATTCATTGCCCGTTTATAGGTTCCAAATAGATTCACTCAAGTTTGGCAACCATGAATAATTCTTCTGGGGCACATTTGGGGTATTTTGGAAAAATTCTCAGCACTGAAATGAAAAAGGGAAATGAGAATACCAAGGCCTTGGGAAAAGTCCAATATTTTATGTCTGCGGGCAAACAATTTTGTCTGAACAAATCTCTCGCTGGGGGCCCTCTTTTCCACCATTCCTAGCATAGGAAAGGCATCCATGAATTTAATGATTACTGAAAACAAAAGGATTTACTGTTCCTGGATGTTCCCTGATTCCTGACTTATAGGCATTTTCAACCCAGGCGCATTTTGGGTGCTTAATGTGAGCCTGAAAGTGACAAACCCACAAACAGGATGCAAGAATGCACCTTGAATTTGTCTTGAGATGCAAAGGAGCCTGCTGGCAACCACGGTTGGATAACAAAAAAATGGTTTCTTCAGCAGTCATCAATTTCACAGAAAATGTTCACTTCTCAGCATACACATCAAGCTGGGAAAGTAAGAAAAAAGGTCTTGGCCAAAAATGCGGGAAGCCCGATAAACGGTGGACCATTTCCAAAATTGACAACATGATGCACAATTCCAAAAGCTGAAATGACGACTCTTGCAAATTCGAGTGTTGCCCTCAAACACAACTCAAAATACCTCATCCCTCAATCAACTTAATGAAAGACATGGTTATATCTTTCAAATGGGCCATCTGACGCCAAGAATGCTCTATTTGCTTGAGATGTACCTTGGGAAAGAACAGGTGCTGGGAATCCTTGCCTCAAAGGTGGTGGCAATGGCATCACAATAAAGAAGGTTTATGAAAGATGAGCGAATTGAATGCATTTTGCATTCTGCCAGCATGTAATAACAACAATTATTCAAGAATGTCAGCTGTTTCAATGCTCAACTT